GTAAATTCTCAAAAAATGGTTAGAATTCAAGAGACAGAGGATTGAAGAAATTTCGAGTTTGATAATACTGGGAAAACAAAATCGCAGCAAGAAAATTAAAAAAAAAAATTATGGAAAAATAATTTATCGTCGGCTGATTCGTGAAATAAACCTGGGCAGCCAAGTATCAGGGCTGCCTGGTATTTTTGCCCTAAAACTGAGCAGACAGTTCGTTAACAGTATGAGCTACTGCCACTGTAACTGCTGCTACTGCTACTGCTGCTATTGCTGTTGCTACTACTACTGCTGCTGCTACTGTTGCTGTTACTGCTACTACTGCTACTACTGCTGCTGCAGCTGCCACTGCTACTGTTGTTGCTTTTTAACATGTGGGTTCATTTTGGCGGCCTTTCTTCCATCATTTACTCAGATGGACTGCACAGCCACTCCGCAAAGAAAACGGTTTGACAAAGTGAAGTTAGTCACATTCGGCCTGACGCTTGAAAAACAAAATCATCATACTTGAGGTAGCTTCGTAAGCTTGCTAAGCTTTCCAGATCGCAACCACTCGTACGTCTGCTCGGTTTTTACTGTACCTGGCCATAATGACACCACGGTTACTCTGTGGTTTTTTAGTTCTTCAGCCATATCCGCTGATAATCGATCGACCTGAAAATGGGATTTGCTTAATTCCATGTCTTTCTTAATATTGGAGGCTTATAACTTTTGATTCAGAAAATCAAGATAACAGTCGTATGTCTGATAAAACCACATCACTGGGCAAATATTAATCCTTGATGCTTGTACTTTTTAAGTGACTTAGTTCAAAATTAGGAATATTTGAGAAAACCCGAGACTCATTTAAAAAAATTTAGTTTCACCTGGATTTCTAACCATACTGAGTTGCGAGAAAATAACGGAAGTACGGAGGGCTAAGGGAAAAATTTGCCCCAGGGAATTACCAGAACAATAAAACTACAAAACTGTTATCGTGCCTAGCAAATACAATAATTTTTTACCCCGGGGACCCTCCTACTCTCCCTTTCCCATCTCGGAGCCGGTGATTTCCATCGTTCAAAGTCTTCCTTGTTCCACATCTCATTCAAAATTCCAACCAGAAAGTTAAGCTTTTTTGAAATTGCAAAAACTTACAGCTGCTTTTCCCACTCCATAAGGAACGTTGAAGAAATAGCGTATACCGGCTGCTGAGCTTATATTGACAATCAATCCCTTTTGACGAGGAACCATCAAACGTGCAGCTAACACCGAGCAAATGTACACATTTCGTAAGCCAACGTTGTTTATTTCATCCCAAAACGATAGATCACATTCGTAGAATTTCTTCCCTTCATTTCTTCCAACAGCCTGCAAATTTTTTTTTCAAGTAAAAAACGTCTTGTGAAGAAACTGGCCCCGAGTGAAATTCATAGTTACGATTCTCCAGCCATGATTCAGCCACCTTTTATAGTTACTTTGTCCAATACTGTAGCAGTTACCGGGCAATAAGCTGGTGAACCTGACATCCGCTTCATCTTCTGGCAGTTCGTCCCCTACCCCTCCCCCCCCCCTCTCCCCGTCCAAAGAGAAATTGGCAAAATTCCAGACGTTCCGAGGTGCTCTTGATAAAAAGAAGCCTCCCCAACCCCCTCCCCTCCGTCTCTCCTTCCCCCATCCTGAAAGAAACTGGTAAAATTTTAGACTTTTCGAGGTGTTCTTGACAAAAACAGGTTGCCTTAAACGTCGCGGCAATAGACAACTGGGCGTTTTAACTGCATATTGAAAAAATCCAATCTGAATAACCTAGCCGAAAACTTTGAAAATTCTGAAAGCTGTACGATATGTTCACAAAAGTGTAATTTTTTTTTCGAAAAATTAAGTTTTTCTCAAAAGCAATCGCGAGCTTTTCTAGTCGATCGGCTGTTTTAAATATTCTAGAAAAACTTTCAAATGGTATTCTTAGAGTTATTGGGAGGTTTCCTTAAAAACAAACCGCAGATACGCCAAGGTTTACTTCCACCCTAAGGTACATTTACCCTAAAACGGTCCGTTCAGAATGGTACCCATCACCGTTGCATCTCATATGCGTTCGTACAGTATCTTTACTGAAGATCAGGTGCCAAATTTAACAATTCTGAAGCCACTTAATGATATTCAAAATAAAATTTGCATTTCCAAGCTGGCTGTTGAGCCCCTTAACTGAGATGATAAGTAACGGTCATTCGAAGGCCAATTCAGGAGTGGACGGGCCAAGTGGGGCGGCCAAAATGGGTTAAATTCATAAAAAATTTTTTTGCGGTTGTTGGTAGGCCGAACCATAATTTCTGAAGTAACTACCAGTCTAAACCGTGGCAAACAGGGAACAGCAGAGATACTTAAATTTTAATGTGAGGTGGAATTAGTAAATGAATTATGATAGGAAAGATAGTAGGGTTGCTAATGTATGACATGTTGAAAAGTCATGTAAAGAGGAATATGTAGAAGTTGAATTTTGCGTCGCTTTAGATGATTTTATGCCATTTGACTTATGGCATAAAATTTGGGGTGTTCTCATCTCTCCAGCTTCCTTTATTGCAGCATAACGATCGGGTTGGGCACAGGGAAGAGGAGATAATCTTATGAGAAATTACCGCACTGCCCGAATAAGCATTATTGACAAGCACATCCAGTCGATTGTTCTCATCTTTTGCTATTCTTTCGAACAGCTCCACAACTTCCTTATCGTTACTGTGATCACAGAAGACAGCCACAGCTTTCCCTCCTTTACTTGCAATTTCTGCAAAAATTCATTTATTATTAAAAAAAAAAACATGGCTTACAGGGACGCGATATTTCCTCTTAACCTCTTCTCTTACCTTACTGATACGTTACCAACTTTTCCAAATGGTGGTTTTGGGGGCTGCACTGACGATTCCCATCCCAATCTACGCTGAATACTGTCTGTGTTTGTAGCTTAGGGATGAAACACAGACAGCCAAGTTTACGTTCATCCTTCACACAGGTCCTCATTACATCTCCTGAACTTTTTTTT